GAAATCTCTCCTCGACTTACCAGTGCGCTTCCCCATCGTATTTCTCTATTATCAATTTTCTCACAAATCACAGCCCTTAGGATGTACTCCATGCTCTGGAAATGATGAGGCGGAAGGCACAAAAAGGGAAGATGACTGCTAGAGCGATTCGACTTGCCAGTATCTAAACTCTCGTGACACTTACTAATGGTGGACATATGCAACTCCGACAATGGCTCCAGAAGGTCAGGGGAAGGATCTATCGTTGGCTTATGGACACTAAATTTAAGTTCATCTCGTACGCCGGTCTGGGCATGGTACTTCACATCAATATCTTTGAAACACAGATAACTTTTGCCTTGATTTTTAAGCTCAACAATTTCATGCATGTTAGAGCACACTTTATCATCAGAACTTGTTCCGACCATGCCTGAAAAAAAAGTCAGCCAAAAAAAAGGGGGGGCAGTAAATCTCTCAAATTGGTTTATTGTTTAAAATCTCGAGTCTCTCAAATATGTAAGAAGCCTCTATAAAAAGTGTCTTGGACGATGGAAGAAACAAGTCTTTGGTCCTCAACACAAAGTGTCTTGGACAGTTAAATGAGTCAGTCCTTTGTCCTTAGTACAAAGTTCCTTGGACAGTCGAAAGAACCAGTCCTTGGTCCTTAACACAAAGTACCTTGGACGATGGAAGGAATAGGTCCTTAGTACTCAACATAAAGTGTCTTGAACGGTCGAAGGAACCAGTCATTGGTCCTTAACACAAAGTGTCTTGGACGATGGAAGGAACAGATCCTTAGTCCTCAATACAAAGAGTCTTGAACAGTTGAAGGAGCTAGTCCTTGGTCTTCAACACGAAGTGTCTTGGACGATGGAAGGTACAAGTCCTTGGTCCTCAACACAAAGTGTTTTAGACAGTTGAAGGAGACAGTCATTGGTCCTTAACACAAAGTCCCTTGGACGATGGAAGGAGCAGGTCATTGATCCTTAACACAAAGTATCTTAGACGATGGAAGGAGCAGGTCCTTGGTCCTTAACAAAAAGTGCATTGGATGGTAAAAAACTGCAGTTCTTAGTCCTCAATGTGTATGAAGATTTGCAATTTTAGTTTGTTCATAAGCATGTATTTCCTGAGCTCATAAAATAATCACAAAAAAAAGACCTCTATACGAAAAAAAATTTGAACCTCAAAATCCTTGATTCGCTCCAAAAAGTTGAATCCTTGTAAAAAAAAAATAAATAAATAAAATATTAGTTTCAATTTTGATACAAAAACATAAATAATAACAATAACAATAATCAAACAAAAAAAAGGATCAAAATAAAAGACAATAAAAGTAAAAGAAAAAAAAAAGAGACAGAGACAGAGACAGAGAGAGCAAAAAATTGACATAAAAAAAATGAAAAAAAAATAAAGCAACAAAGGTCTCTGCCGGCGCAAAGACCAAGAATACCAAGGAATTAAATAATATTAAAAAAAGAAAAAATATATATAAACAAAAAATATATATATATATAAACAAAAAATAAGAAAAAACACAGGTTTCTGCTATTTTGGCAGAGACCAAAAACCAATCCCTGCCACTATGGCAGAAACCAGAACCAATTCTAGTGGAATTGCTCACAACAAGAGGTAGAATTGAGGCGAAACGAAAACGGAATTGCGATAGAATCCAAGTTCTTTTGGGTTTCCACATAAAAAATAATAACTAAAAAAAAAGAAAGAAAAAAAAAACGAGAGAGAGAGAGAGGCGAGAAATAATATATATATATATATAGACACACACACACACACACACACTTATGTTTGCAAAATTTAACCAATTGGTTTCCAAATCTCATAATGTATTCATATAAATAGGTAAGTATCGGACTTCACTTAAGCCCAATTTACTATGAAACATAAAAAGCCTATTCAAATCAAATTTGTTATGAGTCGTATAAAATAAATAAATAAATAATCAAAATTCGATCCAAAAAAAAAAAAAAAGAATTCTTATCCTCGAATTTAGAAGATAAGAATTTTATCAAATTCCTCAAACGTTCCGCATGTATTAATTTACTTATGGGATTTTTGAGGCCAAATAAAAAAAAATCAATCAAAATCGAACAAAGAAAAATCAGAAATCAAGATTTATTAATTTACTTATTGCATAATAAATAAATAAATTTTGAGGGGGGGCATTTGTAGACATAAAAAAATAAAATAAAAAATAAATAAAATGAATTGGGTCGATTTAAATAATCAGCCCAATTAAATTTATTAAAGTCTTCTAAAGCACATAAAACACGAAGGTCCATACCACATTTTAAAATAAATAAACATATAAATAAAAATAAATAAATAAAATAATAAATTACTCAATTATATCTCTTACGCCCCGTTTGATCCCCATTAAATTCAATTACATTACATTCTATTTTTCTCTCTCCTATTTTCAACCACACAATCTTTCATAAAATAATATTACACGTAAATCGAAAACTTTTCTTTCTTTTTCAGCCACTCATTTTTCTAAAAAATACTATTCCCCCCATTTTCATTTTCAGATAATGGGGGTCAAACGGGGGTTTATTTAGAGATAATTGAGTGGTTACCAAAATTGTCACAAAATTTCCCCTATAAATAGGACCAATGGTCCATAAGACAAAGGAGGTACAGGAGAGGGAAAAAAAAAAGCAAGCAAGAAAGAAAGAAAGTAGAGAACGCAACCACGAAGTGCTGAAGAAATTTCAACACCGAAGGAAGAGAAGAATCCATCTCAAATCCAAACTCGGTGAACCCCAAGAAGATTGAAATCTTTTTCGAATCAAACAGGTTCACGCAAAGTTCAAGAAGATCAAAGTCTTTTTCAAATCAAAACAAGCTCAATTTCAAGCTCCAAAGTTCAAGTACCGAACAAGTAAGTCTCAACAAATCAAATTTCCAACAAATTTTCGAGGACCGGGATTCAAGCCACGTGGCCACTCGTTTTCAAATATCCAGATCATTAATTAGAGGATTTTTGCATTTTGCAATTACAAGAAGGTCGACATCACTTGTATTTCTTAAAAATACAATTTGTAACGATTTCTGTATTTTAATACACGAAATTCCGTCGTACAAGGAGTATTTGTTTATTTTACCAATCACTTTTAGAATTTCACAAGTTGCGCTCTTTCTCTCTTACAAACGTTCTATCCATTTTTATTATTGTCTCAAAGAATATTTTCAGAATTTTTATTTAATTGAGGTAAGAAACGTGCAAGTGGCTAATTCTTATTTTCTTGATATTTTTATAAATTTTGGCATAAAATACGTTAAGGCCTTCGGGTCGATTTTTATGTTAAATCCTACGGGATATAAGAATTCTTATGAAATTTCTTGAATTATTGGATGTCACGACCAATTTGCTCTAAATCTAAGAAATGTCGGTATGCCATGTCATTTTTGTAATTATATCATGTTAATAAGAATATGTATTTTTTTCTTACTAGGTTTTTTTTTTTTTTAATAAATACTCACTCTTACTAAATTTTCATATTAGAATGGGTTGTATGGATGCGTCGCGGATTGACCAAGGGATGCTTATGGGGTCGTCAAATAAAAGTTTTAGAAATGATTATTGCCAATTTCTACTTTAAGAAAAAAATTATGTTAATTCCGTGCATGTTATTTTAGTAGTTTCGACATTTAAGTTATTTAACATGTTAAATTTGCAATTTAATTCGTAGTATTTTAAGCTAAATAAAATTAAAATTTTTATTTTCAATTGTTGAATTCACATTATTGATTTAGCGATCAAATATCAAAATTTATACATTAGTGCTCCGCTTAAATTAAACAAAGAAGATGTTGGTAACTCCTCGAACCTATTTTTATAGAAGACTAAAATAATGAAGATGAAAAAGATATCGAGGCGTTACAAAATAGCTATTCTTTAAATTATAATTTCAGCAAACACTACCTTGTAGTTGGAAATCTACTCCTTCAATTCTAGCGTTTGGTCAAAAATCACATCAAAAAATCAAATCGAGAGGCACCTTGAGCAACAAAGAGAGGCAGAAGAGACGAGAGGAAGAGGAGAAGTTTGATTATTAGGTTTTATGTTTTTGGTCTTTAAATTATTAGGACTTTTTGGTGGAATTATTAAGAGAATAGATTTTGTTAGACGAATGCGTGGTCAAAAAAAAAAAAACCATTATGAGTTCATGTGCATAATTATTTTAGTAGGAGAATGAATAATTGAAAATGAGTTTGTAAAAAGTAAGTTTTAACTAATATGCACCAAACGTGGGCTTAATATGGTATCAAAACATTCTAATATGTACCCAAACAATCTCTTATATATTAGTTTCGAAGTATTTGAAATTAAAACAGTATTTCTCATACATATCTTTATTGAAGCACAATTATTGTACTAGTAATTTGTTGTGTGATTGGTCACTACATATGTCTATATCAGAGAACAGAAAGCCTTTGGAAGAACTTTATAAAACATAATTGCACTGACTTCGTCACACTTGTGTAATAGCTGGGTCTTCGCCGTCTATATCGTTGAATGAGTATATTGTAAGAGGAAGAAAATTATTCAAAATGATAGTGATGTTTTTATCTACACACCATTATAGAAATGAAAAGCATCGGTTTGACTCAATGGGAAGACCGTTGTTGTATAAGAATATTTCATAAAATCATAATATAGTTAGGCACATTATTTAGGAGTACACCCACACCAAGGTCATTATATTAATATACGAACTAGTCTAGGGATTGTTCGACGTAATTTTTTTGAGAATAACTTTTGTGAAAATGATATTTTAGAAGATTGTCTAGTTAAGAAGTTCGAAAAATTTAGAGATTCATGTACAAAATTATTTTATTGGAAGAATAAGTGATTGAAAATTAGTTTGGAAACAATAGGGTTTAACTAATATGTACCAAACATGGGCATAAGATGCTAACAGAACATTCTTAAGAAAAATGAAACCAAAATGTATTTGTATATTAATAGAGGTTTTGTCTATATATAGATTAGCCTTGCCTAATCTATCTGAACATCCAAATTGCAAAGCAAAACATGATTAATATGCATTCTCTTTTGTTCCATATATTCTTCTTGCTTTCACTGCTGTCAAACGCCACTGCTGCCCCCTCCTATAGACCAGCTGGCTGCCCAAGCAGATGTGGAAACGTAGAAATTCCATACCCGTTTGGTATCGGGCCATATTGTTCTTTGAATTCACACTTTGAAATCATCTGCCTTAATTCTTCCAACCCTCCAAAACCTTACTTCTTCTTTCATCAATTTGAGGTCGTTAATATCTCAGAAACCCAAATCTATGTTAAGAACGCGACGCAACAACTGGCAATGGCCTGCTATGGCATGACACAACATCCTCACGACACCAACATAAATTTAGATTTCTCAGATTCACCATATACCTTTTCAGACTCAAATCAGATCACAGTCGTTGGTTGTGATGATTTGGCTTTGGTACAATCAAATAATAGTTATACCAACGGCAGTGTTGCTATTGTGTCATATTGTACCCCAAGCAACAGTGAATATTCTGGTAGAATCGGGTCATGTGCGGACACTTATGGCTGTTGCCGGGCCGTCGTATCCAAAGGTGATCGTCTCATAGTTCAGTTGATGGATGCGCATAGTATTTGGTGGCAGAGGAAAATTTTCGATTGCAGCCTTGCGTTTGTTGGAATAGACGGTCTTGATTTCACTTTCCCTTTAATTAATCTCAATGACCCAAAAACATTCCAAAACAGTAAAGAGTTCATGGATAAGCCATTAGTGTTAGATTGGAGAATTATTGACAGAAATTGCACCACACTAAATTCCTCTCATTCTCTTTGTGGAAAGAATAGTTTTTGCATTGACTTGGATGACAGTTTTCGAGGATCTCGCTGCATGTGCAACAAGGGATACAAGGGCAATCCATACCTTCATTCAGGATGCCAAGGTTAGTTTTGTTTTAAAATTACAATCCCTAGCTACTTAATTAAAATCTTATCTATTATATTGTCTAGTATAATATAAAAATTCTAAAAGTTATTTTTTTGCGATGCTGGATCTGATGACAGATATAAATGAATGCAACAATAATCCGTGCAGCCCAAATCAAACATGCATCAATGCTCCTGGCTCCTATAATTGTTCCTGCCCTGATGGGTACTATGCTGTTGGTAGAAAAAGTGGTACTAGTTGTCTTTTAGTGCCGCGGGTGTCCCATTCCCATAGCAAACTAACAATAGGTAATTGTTAACTAAACTTTCACATATTAAACAACTTGAATATACTTCTCTAACTTTTCCTCTTCTAGATACCAAGTTAATTTTTTTGGGGAAAATCAAACGCTGAATTTTACTGTCAAGACAAACAAATTGGGGAATAAGTTTTAATTACATCTTGATTTTCAAATTGACCAATATATGGTTCTGCAAAAATGATTAGGTTGATTTATAGTTCTTTTGACTCAGTTAAAAAAAAAAAAAGGAGTAATACGTAAATAAACAATAAATCAAAATTCCTAGTCATGGAAAACTATATAATTGAAGTCCAAATTCGGTGTGATTGTCTTGTCTTAAATTACGTTGCATGTGTTGACACTTTCAGTATTATGCTTGGGAATTGGAATGGGATTACTACTATTATCAACTTGCTTTTGGTTGTACAAGTTCATGAAGAAGAGAAAAATCAAAAGACGCAAAGAAAAATTCTTCAAACGAAATGGTGGTCTCTTGCTACGACAACAAATATCAACGGATGAATGTATACTTGAAAAAACACGACTTTTCACCATTAAAGAGCTAGAGATAGCCACTGACCTCTTCAATGAAAGTCGAATACTTGGTCGAGGAGGTCAAGGGACGGTTTATAAAGGTATGTTATCTGATGGAAAAATTGTAGCAATAAAGAAATCCAAGAAAGTAGATGAAAATCAAGCAGGACAATTCACTAACGAGGTAGTCATGCTCTCACAAATCATTCATAGGAATGTAGTTAAACTATTAGGATGTTGCCTTGAAGCAGAAGTTCCTTTGCTAGTTTATGAATTCATTCCAAATGGAACACTTTTCGATCTTATCCATGATGAGAGTCATGAGTTTCCATTTTCATGGAACATGCGCTTGAAAGTTGCTGTAGAAGTGGCAGAATCACTTGCGTATCTACATTCTGCAACTTCTATTCCCATCTATCATAGAGACATTAAATCGACCAACATACTTCTTGATGAAAAATATGTGGCCAAAATCTCAGATTTTGGAATTTCAAGGTCAATCACAGTGGATCAAACTCATCTAACTACAATGGTAAAAGGGACATTCGGATACTTAGATCCAGAGTACTTCCAGTCAAGTCAATTTACAGAAAAAAGTGATGTTTACAGTTTTGCAATTGTTCTTGTTGAGCTCTTAACTGGACAAAGGCCAATATCTCTCGATAGAACAGAAGAGGAGAGAAGTTTGGCAACAAGATTTTTGTTATGCATGGAAAGAAAACAACCTGAAGCAATTCTTGACATTCAAGTTTTAGAGCAAGATAAGATAGAGGAGCTTAATGCAGTGGCCAAACTTGCACAAAGGTGCTTAAACTTGAACGGGAAGAAAAGACCAACGATGAAAGAAGTAGCCATGGAGTTGGAGAGTATTAGAATGGGTCAAATTCTTTCAAGTGCGTCTGATACCATTCCTCAAGGCGTACATTTGTGCAAGTCAAAATCAATCATGACTTCGGATGATGACTACACATGGACAAATACCGATGACAACATCATATCTTCCTCGAGTACATCTCCTTTAAAGATTCACACTTATTGATGCCTTCAGTGTTGTTTCTAAACAATTTTCTCATTTGTTTCTTTTTTTAGTTGTCACCTAAGAAACTAAATAACATTAAAGCGCAATTTTCCATATCAAACATCACTCCTCTGTATTAACATTTTGAAGTGCCCAATTTGAGGTGGAATTGTAAATACTTTAGTGAAAAATCCATTTGCTGCAAGAAATGTTAAAAATCTTTACCATGGAAACTCCAAATTCGCATTCTTCCTTTGCCATCAATACACTCACAGGGCAACGATAAAATAAATGACAGTACAGGCAGTACAGCCCCCAAGTTCGTCCCTGAAATTTTCAAATAGTCAGATACGGAACAAGGTCAAAAGGTGACCAAAAAGCATATAAGATACTTATCTAGACATGATGACAGGTGAATTTTCAATAATTAACAAAACATTTAGTGTCGTTATTTAACTTCAATCTCGTTAGCAATTTCAAGAGATGAAGCTGATGGCAACACCCAAATCTATGAGTTATTCAGACCCTTTTCCCAATTCGTATTTAAGGGCAAGAGTATAGTTGAACTCAAATGAAAACATATTCAACAACAAGCAATGGTGAATAATTTCCAATCAAATATTTTATTAACACAAAAAATAAAAATTGGTAATTCAGAAAATTAAAAAATTGAACATATATTATCTCAGATGTATGTCCAATAATTACATATAATAGTGCAGAAAACTAAAGTAGGTTCACCCTTTTTAGGGACTTAAGATCAAATACACCTCAATTATGTAGATAACCTCATCATGGAAGACAAGGAATTTATGGTTACAAAAATCAAATTTATTAATTTAACAATGCAATTAGGAAAATAAAAATAAACGCCGAGAATTTTGAGTAACAAATTGTTCGAGAAACTCAAAGAGATTAAACAGCTTTATCAATCAAGAATTTTCTGAAGCAGAACTGGCATATTTGGCTGTATATCAATCATCACCGCCTACAAAAACTGGAACTGTGATTAATAGATGAATACAGAATAACTTATTGGCTCATATCAAGAAATTCAACCATTTTTATCCATATGCTTCATGGATTATGCATCTCAGAAGCGCGGATAATTAATTAATCATAGCCAAACAATTTTAAAAACCCAACATTCAATTTTTTAGGGGTTTGTTTATAGTTGAAAGAATAGCAAAAGGTGGGGAGAGGCAGCAAAATATAAAATTCCAATTCAGAGGATATATAGACATTGACTGACACGGATTAGCCCTGGAAAAGATGTACAAAGAGATAAATCTGCAACACTAAGCGGCGTCATTCTAGCACGAGCTTTGTGGCTTCAACTTCACTTGTAAAATCTCAGAAGTGCAAATTACAATTTGAATGTGTAAATTTAAACTACAAAGAAGCACGCAAAAGCACATAATTGGATGAAATTTTTGAGATTATTGCAAAAGAGATGGAAATTCAAGATTTGATGAAGATGGGTTTCGGGGCTGAGATTTTGTTAAGGGATTATGGAGAGGAGTGCACACTTTTGTACAAAATGATTTACTTCCACTCACAATGGAAAGGTGAGGTCACATGTTGACATTTTTTATTTCATGTGGAGCCCAAATGTATGTATGAGTATAAATATTTTATCATTATGGAGAAGATTGGATCTCAATAGAAGGAATTTAGAAACCCTAAAAATCCCGGCTCATATGAATTAAATAATTTGGATCCGACCCGTATACCCGCTAAGTAAGAGTTATGTTTATTTGCTACACCTAATTATGGATAATTAGTAATTTAGTACTCATATTTTGGGAAGTACATAAAATTGATCTAGCCATTTTTATTTTGTTTATTTTTTAATAAACAAGCTGATCTCAATCGTAATTGAGAAAAGATATAATTTTTCTTAACAAGTAAATTTTAATTAATTATTCTATTTAAGCATTATTACTAGAAAAATTTTGTAAATAATATTTCTCGTATACAAACTAGTCGTTTTCAGTTGCTTCATGCTGATAATTTGTTCTAAACTGAAAATGAAAATATGAGAAACTATAATAGGACATTCCGAAAATTTTCATTTCAATTTAGACAAATTAGTATCTCGTTCTATTATGGCTTTCATCGACTAATTGCAAAAATTTATAGATTCAATTTGTAATAATGTTTTCAAAATTTAACATAATGTATTAGTAGGTACTTGTAGGCCCCTTCCCAGCTACTGGATTACTTCAATGCTTCGGGTTTCATAACTCTCTGCTACGGCGGAGCCATTTCATGAGCTGGAAGGCTGGTTCTTTGAATCAAACATTGGAAGAAATCGATTTTTTATTATTATTTGTTTTAAATATCAAAATCTAAATGGGACTTTCTATTCAAGGAAAGCATGCTTTTAATCAGTTACAACAATATGGCAGACGACACATTGGCCATTGCTCTTTCTTCGCAGCAACGTGAATCACTGATATTTCGTTTTCAGGTAAAATGCAGACGACCTGCTTACACGATTGTAATATTTATAATTCCCTCAAAGTTCAACTGCCATGTGCTAGTCTTTTCTATTCAATCTCATGTTTCTTCACTGAATCACTTAATTCATCAAAGCATTGATGTTCAGCATCAGCTTTGTTAGATAACCCAGCTACTACCAGGTGCCGCCTTTACCCCTCTCTCCTTCACTTCTCTTGTAACCTTTTCAGCTTCCTCATATTTCTCCTTGCTAGCATAAATTCTTGCCAGCAGTACATAATTAGCTGGATTCTCTGGTTCTATTTCAAATAAAGCCCTACCAGCTACTTCTGCTAGCTCCACTTCCCCATAAGTTCGACAAGCTCCAAGAAGCGCTCCCCAGGCTTTTGCAGTTGCTTTTATTTTCATCCCTTTTAAAACTTCGTATGCTTCATATAGTCTCCCAGCTCTGCTCAAAACATCCACTAGACAAGCATAGTGATCACCATTTGCTTCTATGCCATAATAACTATGCATTCGAGAAAAGTGCATATGTGCTTCGTCAGCCAATCCCAAATGACTACATGCCTTCAGTACTCCAAGAGAAGTGATCTCATCGGGCTTTACGTTTGACATTTCCATTTGTTCAAATATCTCGAGTGCCTTTTTGGCCATCTCGTGCAGTGCATAGGCAGATATGAGGCTACTCCAGGCAACCACGTCTTTTTCTCCCATGCTCTCAAACACAAGATGTGCTTTATCAAGACACCCACATCGCGCATAGGTTTCCACTAGGCCACTCCTAAAATTTGGTTGTGGATCAATGTCATTCCTTATTGAATAGCCATGAATCTCTTTGATCAAATCCAATGTTGCAATCCCCACACAAGCACGTAATAAAGCAAGCAGTGTAATTAAGTTCGGCTTCAAACTCATCTCCCACATTTTTCTATAGAAAGCCACGGCATCAAACAACTTCCCCTCTATTTCCAACAAACCCATGATAATCGTATTAAAAGTCGACGCATTAGGCAATTCATCCATTGCCCCGAACAACCGCAAGGCATTCTGCATATTCTTAGAATGTATATACAGCAAAATCATGGAGTTCCACACAACTACATTTCTTACACACATTTCATCAAACAGTTGGCGAGCAGAGGAAATGGAGACGCATTTTCCATACATGTCAACAAGACCGCAGGCAACAAATGGATTTGTAATGAAAGAGGATTTCAGAGTAAGGGAGTGGATGGACGCGCCAAGAAGCGGGCAGTGGAGGAATGCACAGGACTTGAGGGCGAGAGGGAAAATGAAAGGGTCTAAGGAATGAGATAAAGAAGAGTGGATTTCTTGAAAAAGGACGAGAGCTTGGTGATGGCGGCCTGTTGTTGTTAATCCAACCTGCAACCACACAACAAATGTTAATGAAGGATTAAATCAAATAAGTGTAATGGAATTCAAGGAACCAAAATGAAGCAGTGAACTAAAATGTAATGGAAGAAAATGAAATGAAATCCCCCTTTTTAATTGGCTCAGAAATCTTCGACCCAACACCACAAAGGTAACTTCAATTGGGAGACTTTTTCATCCACGAAGAAGAAAAGGCACACCACAAAGGTCGACTTCGGTTTTCACAGAGAAGGAAGAAAAGTTCTCACGCTTGGAAGAAGAAGGCAGCCGGCTTCTCTCTTTTATTTCAAATTGGTTGAGTGTTTGGATATATTAAAACTCTTGTATATTATCACGAGGGAAATCAAATCTCCAAGATAACAGGGAAGTTTAAATTTGAGTCCAACAGAAACAGTAGGGATAGGATAATTATCACGAGATAATTATTTGCAACCAATTCTATCTTTTGTGATTTCATTTATCTCCATAGTCGGGTATTGAGCATCTAGCCCAATGGGCTGATTTCCTCCAAATACCCAACACAATTGGGTTACATCAATTGTGGTGTGGGTCTAATATGTTCTTCAATATTAGGCTTATAGCCTATGAAGTTAAACGGGCCTCGATTTTCATCATTGCCTAGGGGATTTGGGTATCACTTACCAAAAAATACCCAACAATCTCCACCTTGATACCAAATCATCCTGCAAGTTAGATAAGATAACAAATAACTTAAAGAAAAGAAAGAACTTACAAGTTTGTACCAATGTTTAGAAGATCAAGGCAGCTTCTAAATTTTACTAATGGGAGCACTTTAGTTCCCATGTCTGCAGGATTATATTCTGAAAGGATTTTCTCAAGTTTTACCAGTTCTTGAGAAACCATATCTCTAATGAAATGCAATCTAACATCTATATGTTTAGTACGTTCATGAAAGACAGGATTTTTGCATAGGTGAATAGCAGATTGACTATCAGAATATATTGTCACATTGTTATCAAAAACACCAAGTTCATTTAATACACCTTTAAACCACAAAGATTCTTTAAAGGCTTCAGTAGCAGCAATATATTCTGATTCAGTAGTGGATAAAGCAACAACATGTTGAAGTTGAGATTTCTAACTAACACAAGAATTACACAAAGTAAACACATAGGAAGATGTAGATTTCCTATTATCTCTATCACCAGCATAATTAGCATCAGTAAATCCTTTCAATTTTATTTCTTCGTTACTAAACTTATATATCAAGCCAATATTGCATGTTCCTTTCAAATACCTAAACAGCCATTTCAAGGCTTCCCAATGTTTAGGACCAGGGTTGGACATATACCTGCTAAGTGTACTAACAACAAATACTAAGTCAGGTCTAGTACACACCATTAAATACATTACAGAACCAATGACATTGGTATAAGGAATATTTTTCATATATTCCTCTTCTTCTTCATTAGCAGGTGATTGTTCTTTAGATAATACAAAGTGATTAGCTAAAGGCAATGTAACAGGTTTGCAATCATTCATACCAAATTTCTTCAAGATTTTCATGATGTATGGAGTCTGATGCAAAGATAAAATTGAATTAGACCTATCTCTTTGAATTTTCATGCCTAAAATTCTTTTAGCATTACCAAGGTCTTTCATATCAAATTCATTACTCAAAGTCATTTTTATGTCATTTAACAATTTCAAGTTGGGACCAATTAAAAGCATATCGTCCACGTATAGCAATAAAAACACACAGTTATCATTTTTAGCATTTCCTTGATAGTATAAGCAATGATCAAATTCACTCCTTTTAAAACCAACAGTTTTAACAAAAGAATCAAAACGTTTGTACCATTGTCTGGGAGATTGTTTTAAACCATACAGAGAGCGTTTAAGAAAGCACACATGATCAGATTTTTGTTTATTTTCAAAACCTTTAGGTTGATCTATAAAAATCTTTTCATCAAGTTCACCATGCAAAAAAGCAGTTTTAAAGTCAAGTTGTTCAAGTTCCCAATTAAAATGTGCAACTAATGCAAGCATAGTCCTAATTGTGGTATACTTAACAACTGGAGAAA